TAAGAGAAATTTAGGATAAGAATATGAACATGTTCTTGCATGAGGCCCAATATTTCTACATCTTTACAGCACCTTACACCTCTTTTTCTGGTTCTGCTTCCTTTAACTTCCTTGTGCTAATTTTAGCTTCTTCTTTTTTTCAAATTTAACTTTTTTCCTGCTATTTCAGCTATAGTTCTGCTTCTTTCTGCTTTTCTTCTGCCATTTTCTACTTTTTGCACTTTTTTATGATAATTTGAGTTATTTCTGCTTTTTGCTTTCCACTATTTTAAGATATTTGCTGTAATTTTAGCTAATGTTTAGCTGTTATTAGCTAAATTAATCTTTTTTATGCTAATTTCACATTTTGGTGGCTATTTTAGCTGATTTCTGCTGAATTCAGCAAACTTGTTCTCTTTATGCCAGCTTATTATGCTAATTTAAGAATTTACAACTGCTTTTAGATGATTTGCTCTTTTAACTATTTTACAAAAATAGTTGCTTTTTGTACTTTTCTGCCTTTTCTTCTAATTTTACATTTTTTACATCACTTTCACCTTCTGGGAGCTAATTTCCACTTGTGTCTGCTACCCTGAGCTTGTTTTTACGCTAAGTTTAGCTTTTTTTCACCCTACTTTTTCCAGTTATTTTTCTGCTCCTTTCTACTGTTTTCTGCTAAGTTAAACATTTTCATGCCCTTTTCAGCTTTTTTAAATGAACTTGCATTAATTTTTTTACTATTAAACATTTTTAGCTTAATTTCAGCAGCTTTCAGCTAAGCTTTTCAGCAAGAAGCATTCACACCAGCATTTTTGCAGAAAATGCAATTTCTCTAGTTTATAAATATTGAGCTAAAATCAGGAGTGGTAACTGAAAGTCATTTTAAAAAACACACTCCAACCAGAACAGCTTTAACTCTGTCATTTCTCATAAAATATTTTAATTAAAACTTTGGTGATTAATAAGCGTGCAGGCTTTTTGTTTTGAACAGATGATATTAAAGTTAATTTATTTTCACTCATGTTTTATATTCTAACTTTAAACAAACATAAATCTTCATAACAGACTAATATAGTATTTGGATACTTGCTAAAAGATAAACGTATAAATGTGATAAAAGTAACTTGCAATATTTAACATTTCATTCAACAATACGTTGCATGACCGTTTTATCACCCCAAAATCTCCAAATGACACCTGGTCCTGTGGGTGCTGGACTGCATCGGGGCCATTTGAAGAACCCTGCAGGCGAATAGCTGAGTGAAACTCAGCTCATCCTGCGATCCTTCAGCTCATTAATGATGTGAGTGTAACCAGAGGAAAACACCACCCTGCTGCTGTCAGTCAAGCTGCGCTCTGCAGAACCAAACCATCATGCTGTGAAACAACTTCTTCATTTGCAAACTGGCTAAAAGAAATATTTATTTATTTATTTATTTATTTATTTATTTATTTATTTATTTATTTAACCAAACACCTGAAGAATGTGCAAACTCCACACAGAAAACCCTTGGTCCAAACTGGGGATCAAACCCAGAACCTTCTTGATGTGAGGCAACAGTGCTAACCACTGAACTACCATGCTGCCAGTTATACATTTCAAAAAATTACAAAACATGAACAAAAATGTATTAAATTGTTCAAAATTTAAAATGCTGTGTTCTGAATGACTGCTAAAATTTGCTAAAGAAGTTGAAACTAACTTATCTAAAATAAGCAAAACACAAGCTAAAAGTTAAAGGTATAAAAATGTTAGCTAAAGGTAGCAAAATGCTAACAAAAAAACTAAACATAGTGAAAGGCTGACAAAAAGTGGCAATGGGCTAGCCAGAAGCTAAAAGTTGCACAAGACTAGCTAAACATATCAAAAGGCTTAAACTATAATAACCTTAACACTAGCTAAAAGTCAAAGGTAACAAAATTGCTAGCTAAAAGTAGCAAAAGAAAATTCAAAAGCTAAATGTAATAAAAAACTGACTAAAAATAGCAAAAGGCTAGCTAGAAGCTAAAAGTAGCACAGAGCTAAATAAACATGTTAAAAGTTTGGATTATAGCTATAAGAAGACCAGAACACCAGTTAAAATCGTAGCGTAGCAAAAACAAAACACATCACATAATTCTAGATAAAAGCTAAAACAAATGTANGCTAAAAGTAGCACAGAGCTAAATAAACATGTTAAAAGTTTGGATTATAGCTATAAGAAGACCAGAACACCAGTTAAAATCCAAAAGTAGCAAAAGACAAACAAAACACATAATTCTAGATAAAAGCTAAAACAAATGTAACATTAGCTGAAAGTTGAAAGTAGCAGAATCCAAGCTAAAAGAAACAAAAAGGCACTTTTTTCCCCCTACTCTTAGATGTGTAAGACACTTTTTCCTTCTCTCCTGTCCTTCCCTATCTTCCCTGCTTTGCTGTTCGGAGCCTCCTCTACATTTTCATCCAAAACCAGAAATTATGGATATTTTAAATTTTATTTCTATGGATTTGGTTAGCTGGTCTCTAAATTTTTGGAACAATTTTTTTTCTTCCATGGGACGACATGTCTAAGGTGGGACCTCCGTTCTGCTGTGTTCTGGATATATATTTGGATTCTGATCACTGGATTCTACAGATTGGCTTGGTGGTCTCCTGGTGTTGTACAAACAGCATTGATGGCTACTCGGGCCATTTCCTGGCTGCCTGACCATTATGAAGGATTGTCGTTCTATCAGCACTCAGACTTTTGCCTTGAGCGAGCTGGACTTGGTCTGCAAGCAGTTCTGCTGAGGGTCTTGGGCCGGCTGTTGTTCCTGGAATTTGCGGCGATATGGAATTGATCTTGGAGAAAGCTGATTGCTTGGCTCGGTGGGATTTGTCCACACTATTTGTCTGATTGTATTTGCCACATTGGGTTATACCAGCGGACATTAAGGCTGATGGAAAATTGCTATTTTCTGCCTTGCCAAAACATTTTCTTCTGTTCCCAAACAACTGATTACAGATTTGGCTCTCCGACATGGCCTTGAAGAGCTGTGGACTAAATTCTCGTGGATGTTTATGTTGACTGAGACTCTGCCCTCACCTTTCCCCCCTCTCACCCTCATCTGTGATCTGGTTCCTGGAGCAAGCTGAGGACCGCACCGAACGAACACTTAACATCCATATTCTGAACTGCGCAGGCTTTTGGGGACTGGATTCCTCGGGCTCATTATTCAGATGTTCACACAAGTGCATACAACACTCATGACTTCAGATACACGCCTCCCTAAACTTGCTTATTCCTCTGGCTAATAAATGTGCTCAGAGTTTTTTTTATATAAACACCATAGTGTGTCACATTTGTTGATATAATACGAGGTTTTGTTTTGTTTTTCCCTCATCTTCCCTTGTTTAGCTGCACTGGTTTCCAAAAATCCACGATTCATACTTATGTCCAGTTTCTTTATTCCACTAAAGAACCACGTAACACCGTGAAAACTACAAAAAAAAAAAAAAAAAAAAAAAAAGACACCTTTAAGTACAAGCTTTTGTAAATACATAAATACTGGCTTATTTTTCTCTCTTTTTCATACAGTACTACAATTTACAAAACTCAGCAGAAATAGAACTTCACATTTATCATCAATATTACCGTGTTCGCCAGTAAACCAGTTGCAGAAAACGAGGGAGCCTCTGAACGTCCTTCTCCATCCGTGTCAGTCTCTGTTTCACGCTTATTTTACTTTCAGTTTCCGGTTCCGGTTCGCGGTCACAGTTTCAAAATAAAAGCATGTTTCTTCTCTCAAATAAACAATGTACAATTCTAAGAACATATTGCCAATATCTAACAAAATCCATATTCAAAAATGTCTAAAGAAAATTTTTACCTTTTTCCCATGGAAAAACAGCAGCTCACCAACTTCATGGTAACATCTAAACAAATTGCGGGTGAGGCCCGCTACACCTTGTGTGGTTTTTAGTTTTTCTTTTAAGTGTTGCGCCTCCTCATGATGTCTTCATGAAGATGATCCTTGCTCTGTGCAGGGTCTGTGGCTGCAAGACCCAGGACACCTGTTCTCCTATGTTTGTTATGTTATGTCTTCTTCTGAATGGGTGTTCTGAACTATAATTTCATTGTGCTCTGTACAATGACAATAAAGGTCTGTCTTATCTTATCTCTTATCTTAAAAGCTAAATGCAGTAAGCTAAACGTATCAATAGGCTAAAACCTAAAATGATCTGATTGTCAGTGATTTATTGTGGCTAAACATAAATAGGTTTTACTAAAACAGAACTTTTAAAAGGATTGTTTGGCCTTTTTAAAAGTCCTTTCAGCTGCTGCTCACATTTGTTTTTCCTCCAACTCACATTTCATTTTCTGTCGAAGAAGTTCATGTTAAACAAATATCATCGAAACAAAGCTGATTAGTCAGTTTCCCTGACTAATCAGCATTAAGTTACGTTTACTTGAAGCAGTGATGTGTGTATGTGTGTGTGTGTGTGGGGAGGGGGTTTGTTTCTGGTGGCATTTAGCGGCAATTTTAAGACAAAATGCCCACGTTTGGGGACAACTGGTGCATTTGGGGACAAAAGTCGAGTCCCCATTTGGTTTAAATGCCATTGGTGGGTTGGGGGTTGGGTTTAGGACCAAGGTGTGAATTGAGTTTAGGTTAGTTTTAGGGTCAGGTAGGTACCTGTGTGGTTAGCCTTGGGGTGGTTAGGCTGTAGAAATGTAATGGAAGTCAATGGAGTGTCCCCAAATGGATAGCTGTGCAAACGTGTGTGTGTGTGTGTGTGGGGGGGGGGTTGATAGCGCAGATGTCAGGATGTAATAATAGCCCACAGGCTCACCCTCCTGCCCTCACGGGTTGAGGCCTAGCTGTAATCCACATGTCAGTTTTAGCCTGACAACAGTCCCTGAGATCACTTCTCACTGAGGGAGTTAAAGATTAAGATGTTTCAGTCTAAAAAGGGTTCAGCTTTGATGACAAAGATGTTTTAGCCTGTTAGCATAAACTAGTCAACGATGAGATTTACTTCCTTTTATGTGTGTTTACAGGTACTTTCCAGGGTCAGTTCACTGGTGGGATGCGACATGGTTATGGCGTTCGTCAGAGCGTCCCCTACGGCATGGCCGCAGTTGTCCGCTCCCCACTTCGTACCTCCCTGACGTCTCTTCGCAGTGAGCACAGCAATGGCACCGTCCTCCAGCAGGACATCCCTGTCATCACCACCACCAATGCTTCAGGGGAAGAGACACCCGTCCCCACCCCGACCCAACTGGGTCCGTCCCGTGGGGGCTTCGCCCTGACTCTCCAGGTGGACCCCGAGGCCGTGAAGCCTAAAAAGAAGGGTCTGTTTCGCAGGGGCTCCCTGCTAGGTAAGTTGAAGAAGTCTGAATCAAACACCTCACTGTCCAGCCAGAAGAGCAAGCTCAGCTTCCTGAGGACAGAGTCGGCTCTCAGCTCCAATGCCAGCGACACAAACTCCACCATCAGCGGGGATGAGAGCCTGGCAGGAGCTGAGGATTTCCCACCGGTGGAGGCTGACATTGACGCCACCACCACAGAGGTCTACATGGGCGAGTGGAAGAACGACAAGCGCTCCGGGTACGGAATAAGTGAAAGATCCAGCGGGCTGAAGTACGAGGGCGAGTGGCTCAACAACCAGAGGCATGGCTACGGCTGCACCACGTTTGCTGAGGGAGGCAAGGAGGAGGGCAAGTACATGAACAACATGCTGGTGAAGGCCATGAAGAAGAGGGTGATCCAATTGAAGGGAACCAAGATCAAGCAGAAGGTGGAGCGGGCGGTGGAGGGCGCTCAGAGGGCCGCAGCTATCGCCAAGCAGAAGGCAGAGATCGCTGCTTCCAGGTAAGAAGAAACAAAGACGTTCTTCTTGTAGTTTGTTTGAGCTGTTTCATTTACCTCTACTGCCATCAATAAACTACAACAGCGATCTGTGCAGGGCAGCACACATTCTGAAACAAACCTGAGTTTTGGTGTATATACCAAATAGTCATCATGAAAGTCGGGGAAAAAGACTAAATTATACAAGTTATTAGACTGGATTCTTTGGCTCATTACAAAACACTCTTCTACTGTTTTCACAAGCTGCCTGATATATATTTATTAAAGTATATAAGTCATAATTTAGACATGATGTTTTCAGAAAGGTTTATTTGAATGGTTCACATTTTGTTTTAATTTTCAGACCTGATTTGATCTAAGATAAAATGATAGTATTTATTTATTCATTTCATTTTAAAAACAAAACAAAACATTACATACAACAAAACAATACAAATCAAATAAAATGAAAGGCAGCAGTAGAAAAAATATCAAATCTGCTCCTATTTACAAAAAATTACATTAATTTCAAACAATAATAAACCAAATAATAAAACAAAACAAAAAATTCAACTCCTCTAACAGGAACTCATACAAATACAAATTTAACAATTTCATATTTCTTTAACAATTTTGCTTTGATAATTTTTTTAAAGGATTTAATTGATCAAATGCTTTTATAATCATTTTCCAATCTTACACCTTTTACTGAAGTGCATATGTACTTCAAATTTGTTCAGATTTTCGGTTTAACAAACATTTGTAGTCCCTTCAAATTATAGCAGCTTTCCCTTTTAACAAAATTAGATTGGATGTTTGAAGGTAACACATTTTTATGAGCTTAATACATAGCCTGCAGAATAAACTTTAATAATTTTAATTGATGAAACAATATATTAGATGGGTGATAATAATGCTTTCTTGTGATAATTCTTATAGTTCTTTTTTGTAAAATAAAAATAGGATTAGTAATTGTTTTACATGCATTTCCCCAGACTTCTTTACAAGAAATCAAATGTGGAAAAATTATTGCATTATATAGTGTAAATAGTGCTTTATCATTAAATAACTCCTTAACTTTATAAAGCACTGCAATAGATTTTGCCATTTTTGTTCTGAAGTAATTTATATGAGGTCTCCATGTCAGTTTTTCATCAGTGATGACACCCAAAAACTTCACCTCACTGGGCTCTACAGATCTCAACACACTTTACTCTAAATGGAACATCAGTTGTTTTCTTTCTATTGCTAAATATCATGTACCGTAATTTGTTTTATCCAAATTTAATGATAACTTATTGTGATTTTTGTTGTGTGTTGTTCTTATCAAGAGTCACACAGTTTTGTAATGATCACATTTTCTTTTCAAGTCATCTATTTTGATAAATTATTAAACATGCAATAAATAGTCCATGGGCTACGGTGGCTCACCATGTCTGAACTTCTCTGGTGTTTTCGTGTGGTCTTTCAAAAAAAATAAAAAAAAGCATGTTAACAGAAAAAAAGTTGGGTCTGAAAATGTTAATCTTTTATCTGAGTTTACCACACAGATCCTAAGTATTCAACTTATTTAGCCTTTTCGTACACCTTAGGATCCACTTATTCAGAAAAAAGTCTGTTAACAAAATGAAAGTTGTAGGTATTACTCCACAGGGACCAGTTTTTGACCACACCCCTACTCATTGTTTGCACAGGTCAGAATTTTCAGGATCTCAAACTTACATGTAGATTCACTATGTCAGAATAAAATGTCATAAATCTGGTGTTAAATGATAGATATTGACCAGGTCTCTCACCTAGATATGCTTTTGTTGATTATTTATGCCATTATTTATACCAGACCAAAGCATGCAGTTCCACTTTCTATAGACCCCAACTGAAGGGTTTAAATGTGAAAAAGAAGGATTTAAAAACATCATATGTTCACTTTAAGATCATAAAAACAACGCATCAAGAGCCCGCTGCTGTTGGATGAAAATTGTGGACTGGTGGTCTGGTGGTCCGGGTCTTTATTGCTCTGTATCCAGGGGCAGTGCAATCCTTAGCAATGACTGATGCTCTGCTGAAGTAGCAGCTGTTGGTTAATCTCTTCCAGGTAAGAGAACACCTAATGATGTGTTTGGGCAGGGTTGGGCAATAATTAATCACAATTGATAATAAAATAAAAGTATTTTTATTCATTTCATTTAAAAACAAAACAAATTCTATATTCAACAAAAAAAATACAAATCACAAGTAAAATAAAAGAGAGCAGAAAGAAGAAATATTCTTATATTATCTGCCCATATTTTCCAAAAAACAATTGTGGCGTTTAACCAAAACTATGACAATTAATAAATGACATTTGTATGTTTTGTGTTCTAAAATTATACTTACAAATCATTAGTCAAAATAACTTCTTCATTTTAACAAGTTAAAATAGTGAGCTGTGAAAGGAAACTCTGCTGGCAGCAGATTTTTAGTAATATGTGGCCTGTGTTGTCTCTTTCTGATACTTTGCTGCTGGTAAATGACAGATTGACTGAGTCATCATTACGCAGCACCGACTGCAGTAACTGGTGGTAAGAATAGGTGGTAAATATTATTTAGTGACAGTTTTTCTGACAGTTTATTGTGTATGATAAGATTTTGCCCATCTTTATGTTTGGGTCATTGTTATCCTCTGAAGAACCTTCTTATCAACAACTGAACAACCAGCAAAACAAACTGTGACAGCAGCAGTCTCTGTATGTAGGAGAGGTAGAATATGTCTGCTGTGAAGCTTTAACAACTCAGAGGCAGAGTTTCATATGTAACAAATGTAGCAAAGCAAAGCTTACTGTAAGACACTCTCCATAGAGCTGCTGATGGGGAACGAGGCCTGTCTAACATTAGCAACATATTATTAGCTGTTTGCTGAAGTGGTCGAACAGAAATGTCAAGCGTGTGAATGCAGAGAGGGTGGGTTTCTACAGCCAGACCAGCAGTGGAGGCAGACAGGGTTCATTTGTTCTTTCGGGACTAAGTGAGATCAAGCTCAGGTGTAGGTCTGTCTCCAAGTGCTTTGAAAGAATGATGTGCTCAGTTTGTGCCCCAGTCTACAGGTATAGCAGCAGAACTAAGGAATAACTCAGGAAACCTAAACCTAACTATAGGATTTATCAAAAAGGAAAGTCTTCAGTCTAATCTTAAAAGTAGACAGAGTGTCAGCCTCACAGACAGAAACTGGAAGTTGGTTCTACAAGAGAGGAGCTTGATAACTGAAAGCTCTGCCTCCCATTCTACTTTTAGAAACTCGAGGAACCACAAGTAAACCTGCAGTCTGAGAGCCAAGTGCTCTGTTAGGAAAATATGGAACAATAAGATGTTTAATATATGATGGAGCTTGGTGGTTAAGAGCTTTGTGTGTTAGGAGTAATATTTTAAATTCTATTCTGAATTTGACAGGGAGCCAGTGGAGAGAAGCTAAAACTGGAGAAACATGATCTCTCCTTCCAGCTCTCATTAAAACTCTAACAGCAGCATTTTGGATCAACTGAAGACTTCTTAAAGAGTTTTTTGGAGCTCAGAAAATAAAGAATCACAGTAATCCAGGCTTGTTGTGATAAATGCATGGATCAGTTTTTCTGCAGAAAAGGTGTTTCTAATTTTAGTGATATTACGCAGGTGGAAGAAGGCAGTCCTGGTAATAATTTTAATGTGGGGGTTAAAAGACATCCTGATCAGAGTCAGCCTTGTTTTAGTCCAACTGTTAGACATGCTTGGATTCTAAATCAGACTGTTAATGACGACTGTTTCAGTAGTAAAGTTCAGGAACATCACAATATCACTTCACACTTCATCCAGCCTGGCACACGTCTTCTGTAGAATTCTTAACTCTGGTTTCTTTCAACTTGTAAATGAAGAAGTAATCTTAGCTTAATTTTTGTTTTGTAAGTCAGAGAAGCTTTTAAATTCAGAGTTGTGGCTTTTGATCATATTTTACATTTAACAAAGTGATTTTTGTGAAAAGTTATTTTAGTTCAGGGTCTTAGTTAGGCAACATTTAGGCTACAAGAAAGGCATTTTCTCTCTGCTCTCTCAGACCAGTGTCTTTAACTCCTGTCTAATAACAGCACAACACAAAAGCCTGTTGAAGAAAAGCAGTAAACTTTTGATGTGTTTTATTCATACATGTACCTGTTTGTCTGTGACCCTACATGGAGCTGGTATTTCTGTCCACAGCTATCATCAGAACCTAAAATGAGCTCAGTGTTTACAGCAGGGAGACATTTCTCTGAGACACAACAGACCTCTGTCCCAGCAGACTGAAATCTAAATATTGTACTGCGTGGAGAGGCACTCTGCAGGAGTTATTCTTTGTGTCAGAGCTTTAACACACGTCCAGCCGGTCAGGACGGAGCTGACAATGAAAAAAAAAATACAATGTTTGTGCTGGACTGGGTTCAGACGGATCTCAGTAGCTTTTACAAACTGTTGAAAACTTCAGAACTACAGGAAAACGAGCTGGACACCAGCCAAGAGCAATAAATTATAAGCAGTAAAGCTTAAGATACTGAATGTTGCATGTTCACTGTATCAGTTTAGTAGTTTGTGGTATTAAAGTGATCCACAATTAATTGTAACATTATACTTTATTCGATAAACATTTATTTTAACTGTAAAATAAAAACTGTAAAAATACTGTAGGTTGTTTAGTTTTTATAATTTTTGAACAAAATTTGAAAAAAATATATTACACTGTCGGAGCCATTTTATTTACACACAAAGCATTCTGGGTAAATGATGACGTTGATAGGTCCTCAGTGCGAGGCTGCGAGCGAGCTATATCCACCCTGAAGGTTAATCTTGGATAATATCTGACGATCGACTCTTTTAAATGAAACCAGAGAGCGTTGACAGAGAGGAGAAGGT